TTGTAACTGAGTTGGCTCATTTCTGTTCAAGTGATTATCAGCTAGTGTATGTTATCTGTTGCTGCCAGTGTATAAATCATTGTTGTGTAAACAAATTACCATAAACTTAACATCTTAAAACAATACCGTGGGTCAGGACTCCAGGCATTACTTAGTTGGGCCCTCTGATTCAGAATCTTTTACAAGGCTGAAATCAAGGTGTCATCCAGGGTTGAGGTCTCATCTGAAGGCTCAGCTAGGAAAGGATTTGCTTCTAAGCTCACTTGTTTATTGGCAGAAATTCAGTTCCCTAAGGACTGTTGGACTGAGAGCCTCAGTTTCTAACTGGCTGTTGGCCAGAGACAGCCCTCATTTCTTTATCACTTGGGCCTCTTCAACAGAACAACTTGCTTCACCAAAGCCAGCAAGGGAAAGAATCTTCTAGCAAGACAGAAATTACAAAGTTATGTGACTGAATCACAAAAGTAGTATCTAATCACTTTTGCCACATTCTTTTGGTTAGAAGCAAGTTGCTAGGCCAGCCCATATTCAGTGGGAGGGGCTACAGAAGGGTGTGAATACCAAGAGGAAATCAGCATTCTTAGAGACTACCTACCACGATTGGGCTCATGAATATGTCTAGGGCCTCAGCTGTGATAGTTGAGCTTCTCTTTCCATCTAGTCTGTTAACATACTGGAAGCCCAAACTTGTTCACATGACAGCAGCAGGTTCTAAAAGAGTAAGAGAAGAAACTACAAACAAGGTCTCTTGAAGCTAAGCTTGGAACTCAGACTGTATCACTTTCATTGCATTCTTTTTTTTTTTTTAAGATTTTATTTATTTATTTGAGAGAGAGAGAATGAGAGATAGCATGAGAGGGAAGAGGTTCAGAGGGAGAAGCAGACTCCCTGCTCAGCAGGGAGCCCTATGTGGGACTCAATCCTGGGACTCCAGGATCATGACCTGAGCCGAAGGCAGTCGCTTAACCAACTGAGCCACCCAGGCGCCCTTTTCATTGCATTCTTTAAAGCTAGTTGCTAGGCCAGCCTGGATATAAAGGATGGGGAACTAGACCTTACCTCTTTTTTCTCTTCCTCCCATGAGCACTTTTTTTTCCTTCAATTTTTTTTTATGGTAATAAAATACATGTAAAATTTACCATCTTTTTTTAAGTGTACAGTTCAGTGCTGTTAAATAGATTTATAATGTTGTGCAACCATCACCACCATCCATCTCCATAACTCTTTTCATCTTGTGAAACTGGACCTCAATAACTCACCATTTCCCCTCCCCATAGCCCCCGAAAACCAGCATGATACTTTCTGTCTCTATGATTTTGACTACTTTAAGTACCATATATAAGTGGAATCATACAGTATTTGTCTTTTTGTCACTGGCTTATTTCACATAGTATAATGTGGTATAATAGTATAAGGTTCATCTGTGTTTAGCATATTGCAGAATTGCCTTCATTTTTAAGGCTGAATAATATTTTCTTGTATGTATATATTGCATTTTGCTTATCCATTACTCCATCAGTGGACACTTGGGTTGTTTTCACATTTTAGCTATTGTGAATAATGCTTTTATGAACAGGGGTATACACGTCTCTGTGAAACCCTGCCTCTAATTCTTTAGGGTGGTATATCCAGAAGTGGAATTGCTGAATCATGTGCTAATTCTATTTTTAATTTTTTGATGAACCGCCATACTATTTTATATAGTAGCTATACCATTTACAACAAATTTGTTACCCTTTTAAATCTACTATATACATTTTTTTCCATAATTGAAGTATTTTTATTTTATGTACAATGAGTTGGCGTTAAGGGAGGTATCTTGGCTATCTACAGTTAACAATGAGTTGGCATTAAGGGAGGTACCTTGGATATCTACATTTAAGAATGGATGACCCATTCAAGGAAGTTCACTTAACCCAACTTAATGAAGCCTATATCCTTTGCGCACTGACAGAAACACTGGCAGCATATAGTGAGACCAAATTTCAGGATCAGACCATGCTGGTTTGAGCAGCCATGGCGAGAACAAGAACCCTGACCAAATTTCCTCAAATGGCTCCAGTAGAGCTGCTGGTGACCCATCTTGCTCTCTCAGCTGCAACAAGGCAAAAGGGCTACTATATACATTTTTAGTTTTGATTTGCTAATATTTTATTTAGGATCCTTGTACTTATATAATAAATGAATATGCCTGTAATTTTCCTTTCTCATAATATTTTTGTCTGGTCTTGGCATCAGGATCATGCTAGCCTTATAAAATGAGTTGAAATTCCCTACTATAAACATAATACCTGTCATAGGGGAGGTGCACAAGTATATTTATTAGTTGAATGAATGAATGCATAAGTAAATGACTATAGAGGAGACAGAAGGGTCAGTCAGACTAGTAAAAATCAACTAGAAAAAAAAATGTGAGTAGTTGACAGAATTTTTTTTTTAATGGAAATTCATAGTTTAAACTGTTTTCTTAATCTCATTTGTGTAGTCTTCTTAGGGTAGACATTCTGATGTTACCTGCTCTGCTCCCAAAGTAGAATTTACTTTGTTAGAACAGAAAGAAACCTTTCCAAAGTTCCTATAATTTGTAGCATATTCTGAGGTCCCAGTTACTATGGTAGCTACAAGGAAGCAAATTCAAGGAGGGGACCCTGAGAGTGAGGAATGTGAGTAAAGAGCACATAGCTGAACATTGGACTTGGAAATCACTGCTCCCAGGACATTCAGTAATTCAAGGTTTTGTGGGCTGAAGGACTTGGATAGAGTAAGCACTCCAAATTATATCCAAAAATAACATCTATGTGTTTCTTTTTAAAATATTGGCTCATAATCAGACTGTTGTAGACTGTTACATTCTCAAGTTTCCTTGTAATGGATGAATTGATATATGTCATATCTACTGTGTGGCATTTGAAATTCTCTGCAAAATTTGCTTCAACTGAAATTTCCTGTAAAACTTACCTTCAAATTGGCATTATTTACGCTTCCTTCTTTGGAGTTCACTAATTTCAGTTATTGAAAAGAAACAACATACAATTTTTTTTTAAGTTTGTTTATTTATTTAAGTAATCTCTACATCTAGTGTGGGGCTCAAATTCATGACCATGAGATCAAGAGTCACATACTCTTCTGAGCCAGCCGTGTGCCCCAACATATAACTTTTTATGATAGTTTTTCCCTATTTAGATTCAGACACTGCATGTGAATAGATGACCAGAAACCGTCTGAAAGAAAGAATGCTTTCAAACACCTGGGCTAAACACATTATACACTTGAGTAATACATTTGGTTCTAGGTATATAGACAGCTTCAGCCAACAGTGAAACATGTTCAGTTATGTAGTAGCTGTTGTCTGTCAGTAGGAGGCAGAAAAATTCATCTTTAGAAATATTTTTTCTTAGTTGGTTAAGCGTCAGACTCTTGATCTCAGCTCAGGTCTTGATCTCAGAGTCATGAGTTCAAGCTCCGTGTTGGGCTCCACACTGGGTGTGGAGCCTGCTTAAGAAAAGAAAGGAAGAAAAAAGAAATATTATTGTTCTAGAGCTCAACTTTTTTTTTTTCTCTTTTTCGAAGAGATATTAAATCCTTTATTTGATTGTTGTGAGGATCAAATGAGAGCATGTATTTTGTTTAATTTTTTAAATGTAAACATTTAATGTTTGAGTTAAGCTCTTATACCATTATAAGAGCTTTACAAATATTAATGGATTTAGTCCTCATAACAAGCCTGGGTGAGGTGGGCACTATTATGATACCCATTTTGCAGATGAAAATGAGGAATAGAAAAGTAACTTGCTCAAAGACATACAGCTAGTAGGTGGGATTTATACCCAGGTGGTTAGGCCTCAGAGGCCCTCTTCTGTATCATGATGCTATGCTGCCTCTATGTGAACATGCTTTTGTAAGCTATAGATAGATACTGTACAGATGTTAGTAGGAGTTTTTATTAAGTGCCAGACACTGTACTAGATGTTACAAGAGATATAAAGGAATCATAAGCCTGCCTTTGAAGAATTTATAGTCTGGTTGGCAGAAAGAACTATAACACAGAAAACAGCAATAATATGACAGCCTGTAACATCACCGTCTACCAGAAAACTCTCCACATTAGTAAATGTACATCTTGTTTTCTTTCAGTGCTCTCTTATACAGCATAAAATCTAATGCATAATAGACATATAGTTAATGTTGATTAATGTACATGTTTTTATTTAATGTTATTCCCATTTCCATAGTGAGCAGAGCTAGGGTATTATTTGCAGAGAAAGAATTCCTTGTTATACTTTCCTTCTCTGCCATGTAATGAGTTTATGGATCATCCACTTATTTGGCTTTTTATTTTTAATTTTTATTTACTTATATTTGACAAATAAAAATTATATATATTTAAAGTGTACAATGATGTTTTGATATATGTAGATGTGATTGTGAAATGATTACCACAAACTAATTAACATATCTACCACCTCCTTAACTCTTAGTTTTTGAGATAATTTCACATTTATAGAGTGATTACAAGACTAGTAGAGAACTTATATATCCTTTACCCAGATTCCCCAAATGTTAACGTTTGTTCTACCATTCTCTTGTATAATATGTATACACAATATATTACATATCCTATTATTATATTTCTCATCTATTTGAGAATAAGTTGCAGATATGATTCCCTTTACCTTTAACTACATCAGTGTGTATCCTGCACCCCACCCCTCACTGCCACCCAATAAAGGACAGTCTGTTAAAACAGGAAATTACACTGCTACAATACTTTAATCTACAGATCTTATTCAGACTTCACCAGTTAACCTAATAATATCCTTTAGAACAATACAAAAACATTTTGACTACCCATGTTTTAAACATTGTGGTAAGTATATGCTATATGACAATCCTGTATTTAGTTCCAAGAGAATGGTGAGCAGGTGCCCTGTCTCCCTGACTTAGTCATGCAGGCAGGGGCAAATGGCTTTGTTTGATTTCCCTTCTCTTGTATGATTCAGTGGAGCAGCGTGACTTCATTGGAGTGGACAGCACAGGAAAGAGGCTGCTCTTCATGGCTAATGAAGCGGACTTGGATGAAGAGCTGGTCATTAAGGGATCCATCCTGCAGAAGTAAGCCCTAGGGTTTTTCTTTCTGGCAATTCTCCTTGTCTTAAAACAAAATAAAACCACCCAGTGGATGGGAAAGAGGGAATGAAAACTAGATTATACTGTGTGAAATTGACAAAAGTATGTGACTGTTTTCCCGTGAGACGGGATGAAGGCTTTTCTTCACCGCACAAGCTTAGCTTTTCGCTATGTCTTTTCTTGCCAAGGTAGAGTCAAATCCTGCATAGCAGTAGGGCAAAGCAGCTGTGGGGAGAAGAGGGAACAGGACTGTCTTTCTAACAGTGTTCTAGAACTTCCTTTTCTTTTTTTTAATGGTGGTAAGCACACAACATAAAATTTACCATCTTAACCAGTTCTAAGTGTACAGTTTACTAGTGTTAAACATATTCACATTGTTGTGAAACAGATCCCCAGAACTTTTTCATTTGGCAGAACTGAAGTTTTGCATCTGTTAAACAACTCTTCTCTTTTTCCTGTCCCCAGCTCCTGGTTACCACCATTTGACTTTCTGTTTCTATGAATTTGACTACTTTAGATACCTCAGATAAGTGGAATTATGCAGTATTTGGCCTTTGTTGACTGGCTTATTTCACTTAGTATAATATCCTCAGGGTTCGTCCATGTTGTAGCATGTGTCAGAATTTCCTTCCTTTTTAAGACTACATAATATTCCATTGTGTGGGCCACATTTTTTAAAATTTATTCATCTGTCAGCAGACATTTGGGTTGCTTCCACCTCTTGGCTATTGTGAATAATGCTGCAGTGAACATAGGTGTGCACATATCCCTTTGAGATTCTGCTTTGAATTCTTCTGGATATACACCCAGAAGTAGGATTGCTGGGTTCTATGACAGTTCTATTTTTAATTTTTGAAGAAACCTCTATACTGTTTCCCATAGTGACTGCCATTTTACAATTGCACCAACAGTGCACAAAGGTTCCAATTTTTCTACATCCTTGTCAACACTTGTTATTTTCTATTTTTTGATAGTAGCCATCCTAGTGGCTACAAATAAGCAACTCAGTCACATCTTCTTTAATCAGCATTTATTGAGTGCTTGCCCAGCATGGACTTTTTCATCAGAAGCCACATACTCAGAGCTTTACTGTCTGATACCAGTACATAGGAAAGTTTAAAAACTGTTTGGAGCCTGGGTTGGACTTGTCTGAGGTTTTGCCATAGCTTGCTTGTCCCAGATTACAATTCTCTGTTATTCTTGATTAAATCCATTTTTGCTGCTTATAAAACAAAACAAAACAAAAAAACCATGTTTGGAGCCTGGATGAAACAAATGTGAAAGGAGTAAATTGGGAAAGGAAAGTGTCTTATTTAATGTTTTGCTATCTAGCACAACAGAGGTAGGAGACATATTTCAAAGTATATATTTTAATGAAAATGAAATTAAATTCTAGCTTTAGGTAGCCCAGTTACCCCAATGGATTAGAGTTTGATATTAGAGCCTTTGTTGTCTCATCAATAAAAATGGGTTTGATAATGATAGGGCTGCCATGGGGAATAAATGTATGTAAAACAGCCTAACACCTGTTTCATAATAAGTGGTCAGAAAATAGTAGACATTATTTATGTTTCTAAACAAATAAACAATGCTTGAAAAATACATGCATAATATCACTTCCAGATTAAATTGGTTGTTTCAGATTACATCACAAAGTTCCTACTACTAATTCCTAATTAAATGTGAAAAACTAAATGAATATAAAACTGGCAGAAAAGGATGCCTGGGTGGCTCAGTCAGTTAAGCGTCTGCCTTCAGCTCAGGTCATGATCCCGTGGTCCTGGGATTGAGTCCCGCACTGGGCTCCTTGCTCAGTGGGGAGCCTGCTTCTCCCTCTGCCTGCTGCCCCTCCTTCTTGTGCATGTGCACGCACGCTCTCTCCCCCCTCTCTCTGACAAATAAATAAATAAAATCTTTTTAATAAATAAATAAAACTGGCAGAGTCAAGACTCAGCAGCACCAAGTATTTCCACAAGTGAAGCTAAAAACTGGATTACTTGAAAATTTGTCCAAACTGTAGATAAATCCTCAGATTTCCTCTGCCCAAACCTCATAACGCTAGCAAAAGACTGGAGATTTATTCTCAGAAGAGGGTAAAATAGAAGATCTCTGGATTGGGGCACTGCTAGGCATGAATGAGGTTAGGGGTACCATACAAAAAATGGGCATTAAGTGAATGTATATCTTGAGGTCTTCAGTTTCTTTTTCCCACTTAGCTTCTGTATAGTAACAGTCAGGCTTGCACCTGTCAAGCAAGGACATTAGAGGATTCTTCTCTATGGTAAAAGACAGTCCAAGAGGAGACCTAAAGATACAGAGATTGAGGAATTCCCACTGGAAAACCCACTTCTTGGGTCATCCTACATTGAATTTCAAAATTGACAAAGCTTATCACATGTTGGGTGCTCACAGTGAGATTTGTATTGTGCCACCCTTAAATTTAGACAAAAAAGAAACGGATTACAAGATCTAGAGGCCAGAACAAACAGGAAAAAAAAACAACAAATTCACAGAAAAACCAACAGAAATTGTTCAGAGAGAAGAAAACTTCAAAAAAGGTACCATTAATCAGAAAGATTTATTAATACTTGAGCATCTTAATACCACTATCCTAGGAGCTAGGAATACAGCAGCAAACAAAACACACCAAAATCCTTGCCCTCATTGAGAGATGAGAGAATACTGCATTCATGAACCCAAAAGCAGATTGCTGTATTAAAAAGGGAGCATTTAGTGGCACAAAAATAGACATGAGATCAATGGAACAGAATAGAGAGCCCAGAAATAAACCCATGGTTTATATGGTCAATTAACTTATGACAAAGGAGGCAAGAATATACAATACAGAAAAGACAGTCTCTTCAATAAATGGTGCTGAGGAAACTGGACAGCTACATAAAAAAGAATGAAACTGGATCATATACAAAAATAAGCTCAAAATGGATTAAAGACTAAATGTGAGACCTAAAAACATAAAATTCCTAGAAGAGAACATAGGCAGTAATTTCTCTGACATTGACCATAACATTTTTCTATATATGTCTCCTAAGGCAAGGAAAACAAGAACAAAAATAAACTATTGGGACTACATTAAAATAAAAAGCTTTTGCCCAGAGAAGGAAACCATCAACAAAACAAAAGGCAGCCCACTGGATGGGTGTCCATCAATAGATGGATAGAGAAGTTGTGGTATGTATGTACGTACACACACACACACACACACAGAGGAATATTATGCAACCATTATAAAGGATGAGTTCTTGCCATTTGCAACAACATGAATGGACCTAGACGGTATTATGCTAAGAGATTAAGTCAGGGACTGAGAAAAACAAATGCCATATATTTTGCTTACATGTGGAATCTAAAAAATGAAACGAATAAAAAAAAAAGCAGAATCAGACTAAATACAGAGAATATGGTTGCCAGAGGGAGGGAGAGTGAGGGGATGAGCAAAATGAGTAAAGGGGAGTAGGAGGTACAGGCTTCCCGTTTTGGAATGAATAAATCATGGGAATAAAGGGCACAACTTAGGGATATATAGTCAATGATACTGTAATAGCGTTCTTTGGTGACACACGGTAGCTACACTTGTGAGGATAGCATAAGGTATAGAGATGTTAAGTCACTACATTGTGGTCAGGTATACTCAAAAAAAATTTTTAAGGGGAGCACTTAGAGAACAAGAAAGTGCTAATGGTAAAAATCAAAAACTCAATAGAAAGGTTAAAAATTTTTGAAAAATGTCTTACAAAGCAGAATAAAACAACAAATGGATGAAAAATAAAGAAATAATAAGAAAATTAAAGGAGCAGCCTAGGAGGTCCAACATTTGAATATTAGGAGTTTCAGAAAAAGGGAACAGAGAAAACGGGGGAAGATAGCATCAATGGAGAAATATAAAAAACATTTCTCAGAATGAAAGGAGCTGGGTTTCTAGACTGAAAGAAACAGTGCCCAGCAAAATGCATGAAAAGAAACATACCAAGGTTGTCATTGTGAAATGTGAGAACATTTTACTGTTGTAACATTGATGTCAAAGAGAAGGTCCTGGGCGCCTGGGTGGCTCAGTTGTTAAGCGTCTGCCTTCAGCTCAGGTCATGGTCCCAGGGTCCTGAGATCGAGCCCCTTTTCGGGCTCCCTGCTCAGCGGGAAGCCTGCTTCTCCCTCTCCCACCCCCCCCCCCGCTTGTGTTCCCTCTCTCGCTGTGTCTCTT